TCTTACAACTGCAAATTAAGGAATGGCTTCTGTCATCGCTCTTTAACTCCTGACCTTTTTCCTCATTTGTTCCTTTTAAGGACTGGTGGTCCTCAATATTAACGTCGATGAAACTACTGAATCTTTCCTTTGCTACATATGATTTGGATGCCAATATTGTACAAGGTGGTTTAAAACCTATTTTCAATCCACAAAAATATCAGAAATTTTCCAATTATCTTCATAGAATAAGACTACTATTCCTGTCATAACTTACTACTTCAAATGGAAGGTTTTTACTTCTGTTTCATGATTTTTCTTATAATATAAGATTCTTTACGTTCAGGAAATGTCCTAAATGGTTTAACTTATTGAATCAACTGTTCTTGCCGATCCTCAAACACGTACTATATACTCGTCACTACAAATAAAACACCATTGTTATATTGAGCAAGTTACCCCTTCAACAAATAATAAAAAAGTCACTTATATTACACTTTAGTCTCCTCAATTAAATAACTCAACTGTTGGAAAAATTCTTCTTATTGAGCAGGATACCGTACATATTCAGCATTATACTATGATGATAGATGAACAGTTTCGCATTATTTTAGACTTCTGTTTTGGCTGTCCTTTTAACGACCAATCTACATGGTCATACAAAATCTTTATGTTGCTTTAAAAATCTGATACACTTGTGTTCAGAAATTTCTATAAAAGCTGAAAATCATATTAGACGTCTTTGTCCTTCATCTCCTCTTATGTTACATGAACGTGCTCTTAATTTATTTAATCCTACTAACATCTTCCTTGCTCTTTCGCAATATATAGAACATTCTCAATCTAATTATATTTTTGTTCAATGACTCGACTTACTAACTTAGCTCTCAACTTTTCCAATGCAACCTCTTTATCTTTTTATACAGATGGCTCTTTCAGAAATCTTGGTCTCTCATCTCTCCAGATGTGATTAGCCGTGTTGCAAACGAATCCACAATAGCCATCGATCTCCTTTCACCCTTCCTTTTATCTTCATAATCCTTCCTCTACCTTAGCTGAATTGTTAGTGATCATTGCTACTACGTTCATTATCCTCCTACATGCAACTGTTCATATCTTTACTGATTCCTTATCTGTTATCAATATCTTTCACAAATTTCATTTCTTTTTAACCTCTTTCTCACATAACCCCACATTTAAAATCCTTCATTATCCTCTTTGGTTATATCTTTTCAATTCACTACATACTAAAAACATCATTCTATACATGAACAAAGTAAAAGTACATGCAGACAACCCTTTAATAATATAGTAGATCAACTAGCAAAATCTGATAAACCTAATTTATCCTTCAACTTCAACACATTCAACTCCACTACGATTCCACATTTTAACAATAAACCTGTCTTTCTTTCTACATGTCACTTGATCAAAAGCCTCTTACAAACGAAACGCTTTGACGATGTCTTATTACTTTCATACTTCACTAAATATCGCTCATTAATGGTTAATTAGAATGTTACCTTTCAAATACTGCATAATAACAAAGCTAAATCTGCTACATCTTTTCAAGCATTCTTCACAAAAAAGCAGAAAATCAAATTTATGTTAGAAATGCTTCTGTCTTTAGAGGTTCTCAAAAAAGAAGTCTACATTTATATAAACAAAACTGGATGTGTTGTAGATATCGATTTTGAAGATTTTAATCATATTTGGACCTGTCAATATTTAATGAAAACCTTAATTGATACTATTGCCTCCACGAAATATGAAATATATCACTATTTAACAACAATTTATTTGACTTACAAAGTACAATTCATCAAATAATGACAGCCTCCTTTTGAAATCCCGATCATAATACTACTGACTTATGTTTTATTGACTTCATAAAAGGCATAATCCCGTCAGAATTATTTGATCTAGCTCAAACTATTACCAATAACAACTCCATCACCATGTCTCAAATCTCACATCTATCATCATATATTTATGTCAGTTTCAAAAATCTGGACCGATAGATGCGATCTCTTTACTAAAGCAGAAAAACTGGCTAACATCACCTTACAAAAAAAAAGAAAAATTAGATCACTAGTGGCTTTTCTCACACCCTTCCAACTTCTTCATTTATTCATTCATCATTTATTATTTATTTCTTTCTCTAAGTATGGTAATGACTGGTCAAATTTTTGGACAGGTAGCAACTACGTTTTCCCATCTGGATGGTTAAGTTTCCTTTTCTCTTGATTGGATTATTAGTCTAGAACGGTGCAAAGTTGACTTTGATTTGTTTTAACTAGTTTAGAATATTTAGAAGTTTTTGTATTTTCTTTTCTTGTCTTATATTTTATTTATATTTTGCTTACATTTAAATAAAGATCATGCGAAGCTACCGCACTTTAAAAAAAATAAAAAAATAAGCTAATAGCCTCTAAAAATTTAACCAAATAAAGTTCATTTAATATACTATAATATGAATCAAAAATCTCATTTTTTGTTAAAAGTTTTCTGTAACCCATTTTTAATAGATCAGCTCCCATATTATTAATATATTGATAATGGTAAAGTAATTCTTCTGCTCTTACTTTATTATTATATTGGATTTCTAATCTTTTTTTAATAGAAAGATATGACATAACTTTTTTAGATTTATTTGCTAAATCATATCTTGATGATTTGAATGATATGCAACTTTGAAAAGATTCATTAATTCCTGTATAACATATACAAGAATTTCACACATATCATAAAAGATAGGAACAAGTCCTATTAATCTTTTTTTTCGCAAATATTTTTATAATATCATTATATATCACTTAACCATAATAAATGGTCCTGTTCCTAGAGTCTTACCACTTCTATTAACAAGAAAGCAAACAATATTTTAGAAATTTATCCCCCATATTAAATGGGGGGAATTCTTTTTCCATCTATCGGGGGTCCAGGGATTGAAAGTTGTAACCATAATAAATAGTCCTGTTCCTAGAGTCTTGTTACTTCTATTAACAAGGAAGCAAGCAATATTTTAGAAATTATCCCCCATATTAAATGGGGGGAATTCTTTTTCCGTCTATCGGGGGTACAGGATTGAGTAATAATAGGGAAATTTTCTTAAAGAATTAACTTTTGTAAAAGAAATTTTTTCTTCAAAACGTATCCTATTCTACTAAAAACAATCTGTCAAATACTTCCGACCCTCCATCTAATCTACTATTGTTCTTTATTTTGCATAAAATTCTATTTTTCATATCTGAAGAATTAACTTTTAAATGAAGTAGTATTTAAGTTATAAGAATAGGTTAAAAGTCGTAATTATCGTTACTTAATTATTATTGACAGGGAACATTGAAAAAGAAATATTTTCTTCAGACTTCAAAGACCTCCGATCTAGCAAGTCCTTTGTAATGTCAGAGAATAATTTGACCCTAATGTAAATAGAAAATCAACAAATTAGTATTAAAACCAAACATATTTAAATGTAATATTAATATGTTTTACATAATTTGTTAATTACCTTTCTCATAAAAATCATCAATTTACGCATACTGCAACTTCCTTACTTGCCCTTCCAAGCTGTCTCTCATCGCTCCTTTTCTTGTTTCTTCGCCTCGTCTTTTTTCTCAACCATTATTTCCCTTCACAAAATTCCTCCTCCTCCAACCCATCCAACCCATCTAACATTACCCCTCATTAAACGAGAAAAAAATTTTTTATTTAGATCATAATTAGGCCAATGATATATTAGTGAGCCGATCGTGCTACAACTACTAAAAATAGAAAAGTCCTTCACGCCATATCATATAATAATAAATTAACGCTTTCTTATCGCCCAAAATACACATTTACTTTTTTGTAAGGACAACCGTTGCCTCTGTCGTAAGAAAGTTAGTCGAAGCAAAGCATTGCAAATAATATTGAATAATAACTAATCATGTGTTGAATATTTTTTAATTGGTGAACAAAAAGAAGGTATCATTTTCTGATATACAATTTTTAATAAGATCTAATATCAATTACATATGCTAATATCTTTGTTAAACAGAAAATCTTAACGTTAATATTTGCAAAAACTTATAGTTAATTATCATGTAAAATTTATGCTTAGGAAGTTTTTTCGTAAAAAAACCAATTGGATTTTTATGGTAGTATCTTTAACTACAAAATTTTAAATAAAAAACTTTTTGATAACATTAATATTATTATAAGAGGATATTGGATTTATACAGAAAATAATCTTAAATATAAAGTTAAAGAAATAATGAATCTGAAAATATTAGATTGCTTAACAAATAGTCTGAATTTAAATTTTAAATTTACTTAGCATTTCATAATTATCTAAATTCCAAAGAAGATATATTTTGTACAGAACATATCATTGTGTTCCTATATGTATATTCGTGTTGAAATCATCATATAATCGCCAAGTCTACCAACAGCCAGACCTGCCGCAACGGTAACTTAGAAAACCTTCCGCTGTTATAGAAGAATACACATCTGTGATAGGAATGGAAATGTTGGAGATGTCACCTTTAGATCTCGAAATATACTAGTTATAAAATATCCTGCAAATGTATATCGCCTGCCCCTGTCGTATCCAAAACTTCCGTTTTGAATGCAGGCAGGTTAAAAGTTCTTTGTTCTGGTCTATACCACGCGTATAGTCCTCACTTCCGCAAGTGATGATGGTTCCAATAAGTTGTTGATACTTATTTGATATAAATGTAAGTAAATCCCGTGCAGAAATATTTTTTTCATCGCAATTCGATTCACTGATCTATTTGTAAAGTTGAAAAGCTTCTAATTTATTAACGATTAAATAATCTGAGATTAAATAAAATATCTTCAGAAATTGGTGCTGGATTGAGAATGATCATGAGCCCTAAAATAGATAAATATATACATATAAATGAATATGAATATGAAAAGCAAAGCTGATATGGCATGAAAATCGGCATACCCTTTTCCTTGCAGAGTTTCAAAATTTCGCCTCCAATTTGTCCAATTTCATTTTGCATTATAACTCAATCTTCTATTCCAAATTCCCGGTTTAAAATATTTCGTTCAAACTTATCATGTGATTGTTCCTGGAAGAACAACAATAGAATAGAATTATCTCGAATTTCTTGTGAAACTTGGATAAAAGCGCGTCCCGTTGGCTAGAATAAAAATCAATTTTTTTTTTATAAACCGATTGTATAAAATCAAAATAAAATGAATGTTACCTGATCCACCTTAACTTCATATATTCCTTGATCCATGTACCATCACGACCGATTTTCCCTGCATGCAATACTAATGCATCCGTCTAGAAAATTACTTCTAATTTAGAGAAATTTTATTACAAAATCTGATTATTTAAAACATTGAACTCATACTTTAAAACCTTCGCTAAAGCACTGATTGATTTGCACCTAAATTGTGAAAGAAAATCATTAATAAACGTATAGATTAAGTATCAACATATATGATATGAGTACCTTTTCCTTCAGCTTTTTGAGAATATTTACTGCTTGTGTTAGTCTCTCCACTTGAAACTACTGTATATGAGGAACTTGAAAAGCTCGTCCTAATAAATTTGAAGTAAAACGAAAGTTATTTCCAACAAAAATTACCTAATTTTCAAGAGCAGAGTATTATACTAACAATATTAATAGAACCAAATGTTAAAACTTTAGGCCTTCCATTAATTAGAATCATTATATTTTCTAAATTTGTTGTGCAACTCACTATTTTAACAAAACAACGGGGTTTCTAATGATAATGCGCAGTTAATATTACGGGTAAACCTAATTACTTGCTTATACTTTCTTGTATGTTTTTGCTCGATGTCATTAGTATATGCCGCGCAATGCGCAGAAAAAAAAGTCTTGTAAATCAAAAATCGGGGAAATAAAAAATACTAGTGATATCATGTGACTTAGGATAATATCTGATCAGTTGATCAGTATTACATATATAGCTTTGTTTTTTAACTTTACATTTGTAACTAAATTGGGAACTTATTCAATTAACCTCTTTTACGATATAATGGAACAATACCACCACTATATTCCGAGATTCCTTCTACGTAACTTTGCTATTGACAAATATGAGAGGATATTTGAGAGCAACATAAACCAGCAGAAAAGGAAAGGTCAGAAGAAAAACAAAGGACCCAATAAGCAGAAAAAGAAAAGGCAGAGGAAAGCTGAGCTTCTCCAAACTTACGATAGAGAGAAAGATCAACTGGGCGTTTCTTTAATTAGTAAAACCTATGGAAATCCAAATATGTACAAAGATATTAATAATGAAGACGCGATGCATGTAGAAGAAAAGCTATCTAAACTCGAAAAACGTGCATCAGAAACGATTCGTAATATTGTGAAAACTAGTCAAATGGAAAATCAGGTCGTTTTGTTTAGGAGAGATCTTGAAGATCTACGCAAGTTCATCTTCATTATGAACTATCGAAACGGTCAGCGATGTTTTCAGTATACTAACGATATATTTGATAGACCCACTAAATCGATGGTAAAAGCTTTTATGCACCAGCACAATTTACAAAGACCTGCAGAAGTATGGTTGCAGAATATTCGCGAAATATTAGATACACCATATTCAGAAGTCAAAGATAACCAGAAAATTTTTTACCTAGATAGGGAAGACTTCAAGCAGCGCATGATCGATAGTTTTCTCATAATTTGGCAGGCTGGCGAAAATGACGAATTTATTATAACGAACAACGGATTTGGAATTTTCGAAGGAGTAAATGGGGTTGTGTTTGGGGAATTACCATTTCAATATGCTTATCATTCGTTCTACGTCATTTCTCCAAAATTGATATTGGTTCTCTGCCCTTCTGCTTTCCGAAAAGAGGTTGGAACCGACCATTTATACAAACATTTTGGTCAACGCTCGATTTTTGACCACGTTCCTCATCCGGCGGCAATTCCGAAATATGTTGGCAAAGTAAAGGCTTCTTGCAGTAAACCAAATAATGAACATAGCCAACTGAAATACGACGGAACCGACCCATTTGAATTGCAAGCTCACTTACTTAAAATGAGCCTATATGACCAGGGTATCGAAATGCAATCGAACGACACATTTACCTTTCCCTTTGTCAAACTCAATTCGGCCACCGTTCGCCTCATAAACTTTGTCTTGCTCAATGAGGTTAAACCAGACTTGGTTTTAACTTTCCTTTCTCTTCCGTACCTCTATAAGACAATTGTCAAATACCATAATGACAAGTTCGTTGTTCAACAAGACTTTTCGAATTTGAAAAAAAAGTTGTTCACGACATTGAACAGAACTCATAAGGATGACTTGCATCTCCGGAAAGATATTCCGGTCGGGCGGACATTTAGTTGGAAAGTACGCGAGATGAATCAGATTCCCGATCAGTATTAACCGCTTAGGGGAGGTTGTATATATTATTCATTTTTTGGGTTTATGTTGTGAGATCTAACATGATGACTTACTAATTCGAATTACTTTTCTTAATAGTATTAATTTGATAATTGATTTAAACATGGAAATTCAATTTCTAACTGTTCATATTTTTTTTTATTAACAGATTAGTTATATTTATTAAATTTTTTATTATAATTATAATTATTATAATCAATTTTTTTTATAAATAGACTACTTTATTATTAATTAAGATGAAAAATAGAATAAAGGATTAAATTTATATTTATCTATTGTTTAATAATAAATATAATAAATAAACTTATTTTATATTATATATTTATTGATTGGAAATATATAGAGTTCTTATTTTACTGATATTAAATCTTATTTAACTTATTTATACTAAGAATTATATTAAAACCATTTTTAATATTTTTGAGTTTTAACTATTTATTATAATAATAAATATATATATATTTTTAAACTTAATAATATAAATTGTAAACCAACAATTAATGCTAACTAATAATCTAAAAATATATATATAAATATATAAATATAAATATAATATATATTAAAAAATAATAAAATCAATTTTAATATAATAAATCAAAAAAATAATTTTACTAGAATTTTATTTAGATATAATTAATGTAAATTTTTTTAATAATATAGATTAGATTTTAATATTATAAATAATAATAATTATTATAAATAAAATTTTAAGATAATTTTATAATTTAATAGTGACTCACAAAAGTAATATAATCATTAAACATAAAATTAATGTAATTTTTAAACATAAATTATTATTAAATAAAATAAGATTATTAAATTTGCTAAATCAAAATTCATATAAATTTGTAATTATCTTTAATTTAATCATATAATTTGCAAATTATTTGCATTTTAAAAGTTGTATTACTTTTGCAATTTTCTAGATCCATCTATTTTGGTTAGATTAAAATTAAAAATAATGAATCATTAAATATAAACTATATCAATAAATAAATCTTAATCATCTTTTAATAAATAAAAAATTTTTTTAATATATCATAATTATCCATTAAAAAATGAATAAGAATCTTTACATTTTTCAAAGAAAATTATCAAGCTATATATAAAACTATGTACACTAAAGATAGAGTTGTAATTAATTTTAAATTTTTAACTAGTTACAACTGAGTTGCTAGACGAAATCAAGAGTTTAGACAGACGTCTAAATAGTAAAAGTAAAATTTGGTTAAATTATATTAAAATCTTATTAAAAAATCTGCAAAATTTAAAAAAAGGTAAAACTATATCAAAGCTTATAAAAATGGCGAAACTATATCAAACACTTAGTAAAAATTTAGCAAAACTAAAGGTTTAACCATTTTGCCAAATCCAAAATGAGTTTAGACAAGCAACCTTAGTTGCAACTATTTATGAATTTTTATATTAAAATAAATTTTACAACAGTTGCAATCAGTTGCAACTTTTTAATTACAATACCATCTTTAATGTGCATAATATATATATATATATATTAATTTTTAGTATACACATATTACATAATATAAAATATATAAAATTATTACTAAAAATAGATAAATTATATATAAAAAAGGTAATTTACATAAGAAATTGTAATAATTTTTATTTAGTAATAAATTTATCAAGTTATACATATAATATTTAACTTAGATTTTATAAATATTTGAAGTTCTCTTTTATTGGTTATCATAACTAATCACATCTGATTGATTTTTATTAAGATGAATGATTAATATTTTTATCTAAAATTATTATTTAAATTGATAGTGATATAATTTAGATTGTATAAAATAAAAAATTCTTCTATATTTTTATTAAATGAAAACCAAAATTTTTGAATTGTATGTTTTATTATAAATTATGAATACTAATATCCGATTTTATGTAATAATAAAATTATCATATAAGAAATATCTTAAAACTAATATTATAACTATACCTTTATCTTAAAATAGAAAAATAGCTTTGTTATTTATATTATTATAAATTAGTAGAAAATGTTGTCTTATTTAGTAGATATCACTATATATATTATATATATAATAATATTTACTTGTATTATAGTATTACCTATTTATATATACTGTTACCTACTTGTAATTTCATAATTTTGTTTTATGAAGTCATAATTCCTGCTATTCATATAATTTTACTTTATAAAATCGTGGAGTTTACTGTTCTATTTACTTATAACCTTTTTATTTCCTTATTACTATCTGTTTATTTTCAATATTTTGTAGTTTTTTGTGACCAAGAAGTTAGACTGGTATTGATTGCAAATATTATGTTATAATCAAATGATATAGTCAAATTCACTATTAATTTCAGCAGGCATTATGGCATAATTTTAACTGATGTTAGAGCATATGATTTGAGAATCCAATATAATACTATAGTAGCATTCTAAATATATAATACACATTATGTATATTGTTAGGAGAATCATATGATAGTATTTCTAGAAGGCTTAATATTAAATAATATCTAGTATAAATCTAACAAAAATTATGTATTATAATGTTAGTCAAAATTATTTGAATTCTACTACATCTTAAGTTCTAGATACTTTCTTGTCTCTTTCAAGCGTTCTAATACCTTAAAAAAAATATCTCAGCAGTTTACTAGTCCTATGATATTGAGGCAGTTTAAGTTGTATACAGAATAAATTTAATATTAAGTTTTAGCAATATCAGTGATATTAAGACTTTAATAAAAAAAGTTTTTATTTTTTAAAGTGATTTTCAAAGGATTTTATAATTATAATTGATAATGAATCTTAAAATAAATTGATCAGTTTTTTTCATATAGGCTATTTTATTTATTTTATTATTTTCGTATCTAGAGAGATTATGATATTATATTACAACATATTAAGAATTCATTATTAATTGAATGTGTTTATTTTTTATATGGATTTATAATAATAAAAAAATAAGACATTATGCTATTCTTTTTTGTATAAATTTTTTTATCACCAAGAGTATTAATAAAAGTAAAACATATTCTTCTTGCTATATATTTAAGGGATATATATGCTGAAGTTTCTGAGACAGATTTGATATGCTTTTGAATAGGACTTCTTTCATTTATTTTATATAATAATTATAATAATTCTGAAGTTACCTTCATACTATATCTGAGTACATACTTTGAAATAAGGATTTCTGCTATTTTTATATAATATAATTATGCATTTACTCTATTTGGATAATATCTATTAAAAATGTATTTATTTGTGATTTTTTATCAACCTACTATACATTTTTTTTTTGAATTATCAAAAAAATTATTTTAAACATTTTGGAAATATATTGAGATAGAATAACTTTTCTTACTAATATCATATATATCTTAACTATTTTTGACCAAACTATGCTTATCTATTATGATAATGTCAAGTCTAATGAATATTTAAATAACTTAAATAATTATACTAATAATAGATCTAACTTAGAGTCAGATAATTATAATAAATATGAGGTCAGATAATGAAAAAGCTTTCTGAATATTACTGAGACTTCATTTAGTTCAGCTACTAAATATAAAAAAGCAAAAAATTAATATATCATATACTTTAAGGCAGGAAAAGTTTAATGATAAATTTTTCATCAAGGATTTAATAAGTGAAATTTGAAAAATCATCTTATCATTACTTAGAAATATGTCTAAAGATGACATTACAATTAGATCTTACTAATTACAACTTGCAATCTGCAATTATATATTTTTATATAGGCTGCAAATGCAACTATTTTTGAAAATAGTTTGAGAAGTCATCTTTAGATATGTCAGATAATAAAGGCTTATTAGATTACCTTCTAATCTATTCATTTATCTTTTCTAATGTAAAAGAGTCTAGTTTATATAATGCTTATGACTGGGATAAAGTAGATAATAAATTGGTTATTAAAATTAATCAAGATGTTGATTAAGTTTTAAAGTTTTCTTTTGCAAATGATATACAGTTTGTCAGGAATTTATGAATGCAATAATAGTTAAAAATCTTTAAGAACTATGATTGATATTGATGCTTCATAGGAAGATATGAAAATAACTAATATTAAGATATAAGAAGTATTTGTTTAAATATATTTTTCTTTATAAGAGCTTTATATTGAATTCTTGACTATATTTGAAAAGATATTATTACGTCAATTCTTTGATTCATTCGATTTAAATAAGCGATATATGTATGAGTGTAAAAGGTTTTCTTCGTAAAGAAGATAAGAAATATAATTAAAGATTTATGAGTATAATAGAAATATGATAAATACCTGTAGGCAGTGTTGTCATGGGACTTGGACTTGGACATGGACTGTCCGATCCCAGACTGTCCTTCGGACATGGACATAAA